ATTTTTGTTTCGTCCTTATCACTATTTACAGCAATTTCACTGTCCACTCTGTGTGTTCAATTTTTGTTTTGTTTTTTCCCCATAGGTTTTTAACATTCTAAAAGCTCTTTATTCCAAAGATACAAGCTAGTCAGTGTATTCAGTATTGTAAGTTATTTCAGAGGTATTGCAAGTATTACGTACAACAATAAAACAGTGCATTGACATAAAAAAGGAAATTTACTTTTGGTACTTAAGTACTTTTAAAAGCAAGTACTTCTGTACTTTTACTTAAGTAAAAATCTGTCTTTACAACTTTTACTTGTAATGGAGTAATATTTGACCAGCAGTATCTGTACTTTCACTCAAGTAATGGAGTTGTGTACTTTGTCCGCCTCTGCAAATTATTATATACAGTGCCTTCTCCTACTGCAGCAAATTAACTTTTACTTCGTGATATTTAGCGCAAGTTAATCAGGAAGTGACAATTTTGTTCTCTTCAACTTCCTGGATGGAAACGGTGATTTATTCGCAAATGTTTTATGCAATATTCCAATTTTGCGCATAAGTTTAATTCGTAACTTTGGATGGAAACATAGCTATTGATGAGCAGCGCTGCGTTTAAAATTTGTAATTCTTTTAACTTGACACAGCGTCTTAAAAACGCGGTGCTCATGTGCGAGACGGGAACGCAACGGTCATGTACATCCATGTAGCACGTGTTTACACAGGGGAAAAAAAGGAAAAGAAAAAGTACCGCATTGGAATAGAAAAAGGTGTTCTGTGTGAACGGCCCCTAACAGTGCAATGGCACAGCGAGAGCGCCAACTATAAAGGTGCGCTCATATTTACGGCAAATTTTCGCGTTCGAAATCCCGTAATTTCAAGACATTTAGTCTAGGTAGAGCCATATGTTTAATTTTGGCAGAAATGAAAAAGAGGGATAGAGGTGCAGTGCGTTCAATTAATTGTAGTGTTGTTTAACAACAAACCTTTGCTTTTAATCACGAGATAGGGGAAACACTTTCCTGTTTGACGCATGGGCAGACGAGTTGGCATTAGTGGCGATAAAAATGAACATCCGAAGCTTTAGCACTCGACGGGGTCTGTGTGCGTCGGTAGAACCGTCAGTCCGCTGATGGAAACGACTGTTGATCTTCTGGGAATTATTATAAAGAAGAGTTTTACCTCAGCATATCTCTACGGTTTACATCACGTGTCTTCACTGACAACCGCGAAAAAAACGAAACAAATCAAACTCGAGACTACACTCGTGACTTATGTTAATGATAACCTTATATATTTATATATTAGTGTTGTCAAATGATTAATCGCATCCAAAATAAAAGTTTTTGTTTACATAATATATGTATGTGTTCTGTGTATATTTATTATGTAGCCTAGCCTATATATAAATACGCACACATACAGTAAATATTTTGAAAATATTTACATGTATATATTTATGTTCTTATATTTTATATTACATATAAATATACTGAACATATAAACTTAACATATTTTTCTTAAATATATTCATGCACGTGTTTGTATTTATATATACATAATAAATATACAAATTATAGACACATATTATGTAAACAAAACTTATTTTGGATGCGATTAATCGCGATTAATCATTTAACAGCACTAATATATATATATATATATATATATATATAGTATTTGTGTTTGTGTGTCTTAATAGTTTACAATTATTATATTACTATATATTCTTTTATTTTTATTGTTAACACATATAGTATAATGTGTATATTATACACAGAATATTTGAATCATCACATTTTAACTTTTATTCACTCTCACATCTGTAACTCACTCTGTCTGAACGCTGCAGCTTCGCCTTGCACCTCACATCCTGTGGGCCGCAATAATTGAATAATCACACAATGAATATTCAATTATGATTGGTCCAGTTCCACACAACTCAAACAGAATCTTAAACTTGATTGGTTACAAAGTAAGCACTCTTTATAAGCGAGAATCAGTGCAGTTCAGGCATTTTCAAAATGATATAATAAATGATCTGTGGAGTATTTTGAGCTGAAACTTCACAGACACATTCTGGGGACACCATAGACTTATATTACATATTGTAAAAAGGTGCATAATATGTCTCCTTTAAGTCAACTAGATGATTACAGCACATTGAAAATATACATAACCGGAAATAACCGAGTAGTATTATTTCAAAACGGAAGTGCATCACGAGGCTCAGTGCAAGTAGTCCATTGGGCAGTTCTACAGACATTTTAACGGAGTTTATTACCATCACAGCTTCTGTGAAGACACGTTCCGTTCTCTGCAGCGCACTGCCGTATAAAATGCATTTTGCCTGGTATTTTAGGGTAATTAAATTTTACTAAGGCTTTTGAATGAATCTGCGTGTTCTGCCATTTTTCTTGATGAACTCAGGTCAGTGCAGCTAGTGGTGTGTTTCAGTAGATTAGTCTAAAGTCAGAGTATGGCATGTTTTTAATGAGATCTTGGTTTCGTTTTGAAGACTGTAATTTGTTCTGGATGTACTGCAGGTCTCACAGATGCGCTACAGTCTTATACGCTTATAATGAGTGTTCTGCCACTTCTTGAAATAGTGTAAAGTCATTTCTAAAGCAGAAATTTAATATTACCATCTGGCGGAGTGAGGCCTGAGATTGTTTGGAAGTCTAAAAATAAAGCCAAAATGTGCAAAATGAAATCAAATATAGATATCATGTATCTTACTCAATTTCTGTTTCTAAATATTTTTGCAATATGTGTCTTTAATAGGGAGACTGAAGCTCAATGAGCTTAAAGGAATAGTTCGCCCAAAAATAAAAAAAATTTTATAAACATTTACTCACCCTCAGGCCAACCAAGATGTAGATGAGTTTGTTTCTTCAGCAGATTTGGAGAAATGTAGTATTGCATCACTGTCTCAGCAATGGATGCTCTGCAGTGAATGGGTGCCGTCAGAATGAGAGTCCAAACAGCTGATAAAAACATCACAATAATCCACAAGTAATCCACACCAATCCAGTCCATCAGTTAACATCTGGAGAAGCTAAAAGCTGAAACAAATTCATCATTAAGACATTTTTAACTTCAAACCGTCGCTTCCTCTATCCATAATATTACTTCCTCCAGTGAAAAAGTGGTCTGGTCTGAATCAGGCGAGAAATCTGCACAGATTGAGTAAAAGTAAAAAGAGTCCAAAACAGCTCTAAACAAATATGTGGGTGGATTTTGATGTGAGAGACAAGAGATGGACTGCAGGAAGCCTTATTATGGATTATGGACTCCTATTTTGGCCAGAAGCAATGGTTTAAAGTTTAAAAAGTCTTAATGATGGATTTGTTTCTTATAAGCATGCAGCTTTTCACTTCACAGGATGTTAATTGATGGACTTGTCTCCAGACAAGGTCTGTAATATGTCAGTCTTCTGCAAAGTTGCAAAACCTCTGTTCAGTGCTTTTTGCATGCATTTTTTAGGTCTGATTGATGCGGGGACGCTCTAAATAAATGAGCACTGGTGCAATCAGTCTCTGTACTTGTCATAAATTGATGATTGTGTGTCAACAAAATGGAAACAGCAGTTTACAGATGAGCTATTTCATGCTGCATAATGTGAACGTTTGTCTTCAGAATGAACCAGATGTAGTCAGATGGAGGCATGACAATCTGAATTTCTGTGTTGTGATTTTTAACAGCTTAATTGTGCATTCGCTTCATTTTTACATTTTATTGTCTCTGTGTGTCTCTCAGGTCTCTGTCTGGTCGTATAGTCGGAGGCGTTTGGTGGTTCTTCACTCTCATCATTATTTCCTCCTACACGGCAAACCTGGCCGCTTTCCTCACCGTGGAGAGAATGGTGTCGCCTATCGAGAGCGCAGAAGACCTCGCCAAACAGACAGAAATCGCCTACGGGACTCTTGATTCCGGTTCCACCAAAGAGTTCTTCAGGGTGAGAGAATAATATTAATGGTTATACCGTAATAAAACAGAAAATCACACCAAACCAATAGAAAATGCATTTAGATTGGTGAGTTACCATCTGGTGGTAGAATTGTGTCAACTGGTGGAAATCTATAAAATTATATATAAAATTATATCATGTTTTTAATGACATTTTTTAAATGAATATTTTTATTCAGCAAAGACAAATTACATTGATCAAAAGTGACAGTAAAAACATGTATAATGTTACAAAAGATTTCTATTTCAAATAAATGCTTTTCTTTTGAACTTTCTATTCATCTGTGAATCTTGAAAAATAAAATGTATCACAGTTTCCACAAAAATATTTGGCAGCACAGCTGTTCAACATTGATGATAATCAGAAATGTTTCTTGAGCAGCAGATCAGCATATTAGAATGATTTCTGAAGGATCATGTGACACTGAAGACTGGAGTAATGATGCTGAAAATTCAGCTTTGATCCCAGAAATAAATTACATTTTACTATATATTCACATAGAAAACAGTTATATTAAATTGTAAAAATATTTCACAAATTATTACCGTTTTTAAATAAATACAGCAAAATGAGCAAAAGACACTTCTCTCAAAAACATTAAAAAATAGTAATTATTTCAAACTTTTGAACTTCAGTTTATATATATATATATATATATATATATATATATTGATCATAACAGCTACTCCAAATTCATTCTTTTTTTTTATCACTGCATGGGTCTGGATATTGTGTTTTGTAGTTTAAGGCATCCAAAGACAGACAGAGCAGGCTGACATGCACATTACAGTTCAGTCATCTCAGTAATGGATCAGAAATTGAATCAGACTCCAAAGAGTATACGAGCCAAACCTACACTCACATCTACATAGAGAGCCTGTCTGCAGTCAGGAGAGGAGCTAAAAAAGCAATTTACTCAGAGAGCAAAGACAAAGTGATAGAGGGAGAAAGACCGATGGCTGGAGAGAGAGAGACGGGTAATATGAGAGAGAATCTGCGTGAGCTGAATGAATGGGCTATTCATTAATTAGCTGAGCAGCGCCGCATGCGTTTCACTCTGTATCTGTCTCCCTGTTGTCATACACAGATGGTGTGATGTTACACTCCTACATGGAAAAACATTCATTTTCACATTCTCACTGCCATTCTGGTTCCGCCGACCTGTCTCACTTTCTCTGCCATATTTTCTCATTCAATCTGCACTAAACTGTCTCACTCTCCCTCTCCTCATTGTCTCTTCCAACCTGTCTCACTCTCTTCATATTTTCTCATTCTTTCCACCAATCTAGTCAAAGTCAAGTCAAATTTAGTTCACAATGCACATAGTTTTTAAAGCAGCTTTACAGAAAAAAACATGTTAATGTTTAAAATATCTTAATATCTTCTTGCCTTATAGTAGCAAAATGTATATAGGAATAAATAACTTTTTTAAATGTTTTTTAAATGTCACCAAGGTTGCTTTTATTTGATCAAAAATACAGTAAAAACTAAAAATTGTAAATATTTTTTACAATTTGAAATATGTGTTTTCTATGTGACTATAATGTCAAATGTAATTTAGTCCTGTGATCAAAGCTGAATTTTTCCAGTCTTCAGTGTCACATGATCTTCAGAAATCATTCTAATATGCTGATTTGCTGCTCAAGAAACATTTCTGATTATTATCAATGTTGAAAACAGTTTTGCCATTTAATATTTTTGTGGTATCCATGATACACTACCATTCAAAAGTTGAGGTATGTAAGACTTATTTTTTGTAAAGAAATTAATACTTTAATTCAGCAAGGATGCATTAAATTGATTAAAAGTGACAGTATAAAGACAGTTATAATGTTACAGGCGATTTCGATTTCAAATATATGTTGTTCTTTTGAACTTTCTATAAATCAAAAATCCAGAATAAAATGTTTCCAACCACTGTCTGATAATACTTGAGCACTAATGATAACTGAGCAGCAAATCAGCATATTATACTGATTTCTGAAGATCATGTGACACTGAAGACTGGAGTAATGATGCTGAAAATTCAGCTTTGATCACAGAAATAAATTACATTTTACATTATATTCAAACAGAAAACAGTTTTTTAAAATTGTAATAATGTTTCACACGTTTTTACCGCATTTTTGATCAAATAAATGCAGCCTTGATGAGCAGAATTTCAAAAACATAAAAAATTCCGAACGTTTGACTCGTAATATGCATATACATGTGATAATACATGCAACACAGTATGCAATAATACAGTTTACATTTGTGCAACAATATCAAATCTAATCTGTCTCACTCTGTAATCCCATCACAATAACTGTGGCATCTGTCTCACCGCCTCAGCAGAGCGTCGCTGATATACTGGCCAGAAACATTTGATCAGTTACCCAGGGAATAAGTAAATGTCAGGCGTCCCGTTGTGTTTGGACTAACGCGTGAGTTTGTTTGTCATTTGTTCTGGGGCGTTTGTGTCTGAGCGCAGGTTTGTCGAGGGTGTTGTTTATTCGTGTGATGTTTTATTTTGGAGTGTTACGGCACAACGGCGCTCCAGACTGGACGTGACAAACATTATAATGAGCCGGCTGTCCGTCACGCTCCGCTGCTTTCCTCTCACATACTGCAGCTTAAGACTAAGCCTGTGTATAAAAGAGGCGCAAATGATCAAGTACAAGACACACTGGGACACCAGCATGTCAAATATGATATCTCACAGGACAAACACACACAGTTCAGCCATATTAGACCCATCCGTCTTTTTTACAGCAAAGCCAGCACTGTAGTGCACACTTCAGAGCTGACTACACAGTGCTGGAGCATAGGATCTGTTATAGTTTGACAAATGACATTTCAGTAACCACAAAACTGATCAACTTTGGGGTCAGTACTTTTTTTTTTTTCAAGGAAATTAATGCTTTTATTTAGAAAGGATGCATTTATAAAAGGAGGCATTTATAATGTTACAGAATGTTTCTATTTCAAATAAAGGTTGTTCTTTTGAACTTTCTATTCATCAAAGAATATTGAAAAATAAAATGCATCACGGTTTTGACAAAAATATGAAGCAGCACAACTGTTTTCAACATTGATAATAATCAGAAATGTTTCTTGAGCAGCAAATCAGCATATTAGAATGATTTCTGAAGATCATGTGACACTGAAGACTGGAGTAATGATGCTGAAAATTCAGCTTTGCATTACAGGAATAAATTACATTTTAATATATATTCATATAGATTATATATTAAATATATATATTCAACAGTTATTTTGAATTGTAATAATATTTTACAATATTTACTGTGTTTTTGATTAAATAAATGCAGCTGGTGGGCAGAAGAGATTTCTTTCAAAAACATCTTACTGACCTCAAAAGATTGAACAGTAGTGATATTTTACTATATATTTATTCTCAGATCATAAAATAATTTTAGATCAGATCAATATTGCATGTACATATATCAACATAATGAGCAGGAAAATGATGATAAAAGATGCCTTTGCTCTGCGTAAGACAAGGTTATTATAGTTAACTAAAACTAAAACCATTAAAAATTAAAATTGGTTATTGAAATAAAATTAACATTAACGAAAATAAAATACAATTATTTTAATTTATTTTATTACAGCTATTTGCCAAGGCAGAATTTCTTATTTTTGTTTAGTTTGACTTTATGTACTAAAATAACTAAAACTAAATGTACTAAAAGTAATATATAAATATGAATTTAAAAAACAGTATGGGCATATTTTTAAAAAATGACAAAAAAAAAAAACTTTAAAAATTAAAAAAGTGAAAACAGAAAGTATTAATATTTCATATAGAAACAAAAATATTTCATATTAATATTAAAATATTTCAAATATTAACAACTATAATAGTATATCAATGATATGACAATAATACTGTTATGAACTGTTATAATACTGATATGAAAATGAGGTTTATTTTGAGACTGACTGGCTGTATATTATCTCTTACTTATTGTTTAAATCTATCTTTAAATCATTTTTAGCATAGCTGAGATTTGACTTACTAGGAGTGCCAAAAGACAACTCAGGTTATACAAAATGAACAACAAGAAGTCTTTTTAAAAAGCTGAACATCACACACAGACACAATTACTAAAGCAAATTGTATGAAATATTGACATCTACAGTTTTAGTTGTTGCATCACTATTTAAACACTAAATTGTGATTGATGTAAATCTAATTTTAGTAGTGCTGTCAAACGATTAATTGTGATTAATCGCAATTAATCGCATCCAAAATAAAAGTTTTTGTTTACATAATATTTGTGTAATGTGTCTATTTATTGATTATATATAAATAGACACACATGCATGTATATATTTAAGAAACATATGTAATGTTTATATTTTGCTTCTCTCTCTGTTTCTGTCTTTCTCTCTTTTCTCTCAGTTTTCACACTCGGTACTCTCTGTGATGCAGCGATATCTTTGTGGTCACATATACAGTAGCTGTTTTTAGCTTTATTGGGCATTTATGTCTCATATATATATATATATATATATATATATATACTCTAAAAAATGCTGGGTTAAATATAACCCAGTGCTGGGTTAAAAAGGGAAGAATATTGAAAAATAAAATGCATCACGGTTTTGACAAAAATATGAAGCAGCACAACTGTTTTCAACATTGATAATAATCAGAAATGTTTCTTGAGCAGCAAATCAGCATATTAGAATGATTTCTGAAGATCATGTGACACTGAAGACTGGAGTAATGATGCTGAAAATTCAGCTTTGCATTACAGGAATAAATTACATTTTAATATATATTCATATAGATTATATATTAAATATATATATTCAACAGTTATTTTGAATTGTAATAATATTTTACAATATTTACTGTGTTTTTGATTAAATAAATGCAGCTGGTGGGCAGAAGAGATTTCTTTCAAAAACATCTTACTGACCTCAAAAGATTGAACAGTAGTGATATTTTACTATATATTTATTCTCAGATCATAAAATAATTTTAGATCAGATCAATATTGCATGTACATATATCAACATAATGAGCAGGAAAATGATGATAAAAGATGCCTTTGCTCTGCGTAAGACAAGGTTATTATAGTTAACTAAAACTAAAACCATTAAAAATTAAAATTGGTTATTGAAATAAAATTAACATTAACGAAAATAAAATACAATTATTTTAATTTATTTTATTACAGCTATTTGCCAAGGCAGAATTTCTTATTTTTGTTTAGTTTGACTTTATGTACTAAAATAACTAAAACTAAATGTACTAAAAGTAATATATAAATATGAATTTAAAAAACAGTATGGGCATATTTTTAAAAAATGACAAAAAAAAAAAACTTTAAAAATTAAAAAAGTGAAAACAGAAAGTATTAATATTTCATATAGAAACAAAAATATTTCATATTAATATTAAAATATTTCAAATATTAACAACTATAATAGTATATCAATGATATGACAATAATACTGTTATGAACTGTTATAATACTGATATGAAAATGAGGTTTATTTTGAGACTGACTGGCTGTATATTATCTCTTACTTATTGTTTAAATCTATCTTTAAATCATTTTTAGCATAGCTGAGATTTGACTTACTAGGAGTGCCAAAAGACAACTCAGGTTATACAAAATGAACAACAAGAAGTCTTTTTAAAAAGCTGAACATCACACACAGACACAATTACTAAAGCAAATTGTATGAAATATTGACATCTACAGTTTTAGTTGTTGCATCACTATTTAAACACTAAATTGTGATTGATGTAAATAAATCTAATGTAGTGCTGTCAAACGATTAATTGTGATTAATCGCAATTAATCGCATCCAAAATAAAAGTTTTTGTTTACATAATATTTGTGTAATGTGTCTATTTATTGATTATATATAAATAGACACACATGCATGTATATATTTAAGAAACATATGTAATGTTTATATTTTAAATATATTTATATATAATATAAATTTTATGAATATAAATATATACATGTAAATATTTTCTAAATATATACTGTATGAGTGTGTATTTATATACAAAATAAATATACACAGTACACAAACATATATTATGTAAACCAAAACGTTTATTTTGGATGCGATTAATCGCGATTAATGCTGGGTTAAAATGGGACAAACCCAGCTATTGGGTTGTTTTGACCCAGCGGTTTGGTTGTTTTGAACCCAACCGCTGGGTCAAAACAATCCAATAGCTGGGTTTGTCCCTTTTTAACCCAGCGCTGGGTTATATTTAACCCAGCATTTTTTAGTGTATATATGGTAAAGGGCTCATATCATGATAAATGAAATATGGCTTTCATTGACAGGCTATAGTATCATTGAGAAACTATTATAGTATTTATGTTAAATTAGTTTTTATTTTTATGTTTTGCATTTTCGTTTTCGTTAAAGTTAAAGTTTTTTTTTTTTTCATTTTTAGTAGTTTTCTATGGAAGCCCGTTTCCGCCACTAAATAAAAACTAAAACAATGTAATTGCGACTTTTTATCTCACAATTCTGACTTTTTTTCTCAGAATTGTGTGATATAAACTCGCAATTGTGAGAAAAAGAAAGTCAGAATTGCAAGATATAAACTCGCAATTATGAGAAGTAAAAAACAGTTACCTTGTGTTATTTTTTATTCAGTGGCGGAAACGGGCTTCCATAGTTTCCCCCCCTCCAAAATATATATATAAATTCCCCCCTCTATAGTTTTTTCATTTTGGTAATGCTTTACAATAAGGTCTCATTTCTTTTTGTTAACAATAGTTAATACATGAACTAGCAATGAACAATATATTTTTACAGCATTTATTAACCTTTATTAATGTTAGTTAATAAAAACTTTCATGTTCTTGTTAGTTCTTAGTACATTAACTAATGTTAACGAATATAACTTGATTTTAATAATGTATTTAACAAATGTTGAACTTAACATTAAATAAGATTAATAAATGCTATATAAGTGTTGTTCATGTCAACTACTGTTAACAAATGAAACCTTATGTGTCTCATTTTAGTTACTTTGTTACATCAAGTTAAACTAAATTAAATTTAGAATTGTCGTCCTGGCAACTATCTGAAAAAAATGTTTTATATATCATTGTATTTCAATTAACATTTTTTAATGTAACATTTTTTTATGATTTTAGTTGACTTTAATGAGTATTGTAGGAATGAAAAATAACAGAATGAAATCATTAAACAATAAATGGATTTAAAGGGATAGTTCACCCAAAAATGAAAATTTGATGTTTATCTGCTCACCTCCAGGGCATCCAAGATGTAGGTGACTTTGTTTCTTCAGTAGAACACAAATTATGATTTTTAACTCCAGCCGTTGCAGTCTATCAGTCGTATAATGCATGGCAATGGTAACAAAATCTATGAGAGTAACGTACGGCTTCCGGTGCGTGAGGTGTGTACGCGCTCTGGCGTAGTTTACGCAAGCCATTACTAATCAAAATGGTACTTACTTGCGCTTATCCGGATTGTTCAAACCGACTTAAAACTAAGCTATCCGTTTGTAAAGTGCTGAAATGTCAATTTATAGAATGGTTTGTAATTGTAGTACTCGCTCGTTGTACAGCAGATTCGCTGATGGACACCATCAAATTTTAATTTTTGGGTGAACTATCCCTTTAAGTGAATAAAGAAAAAAAGAACAGTAAAAGAACAAGAATATAAATTTTTCCTTAAAATAATCCATTTGAACTATTTGCAAATAATATTTTAAAATATGCACTTATTTTCTTATGCATATTATGTTGAACATGCAAAATGGCAAAATATTTCTTGTCTCATACGTTATGAATTACATGCATCATATAAATGATTCAGCCTATATTTTCAATACAAAACAGTGAAATTTGAAATGGTTGAGTAAAGTTTTGCTTTATTGAAATGACTGTCAGTTGTTTCACATTTCTATTATAAAACCTTGTGAGACTAAAGACTTTTTTTCTCAGAATTGAAAGTGAATTGCAAGATGTACACTTGCAATTGCTTTAAAGTTTAAGTTATGACAGTTTTTGCTTTTAAAGGCAGGGTAGGTGATCTGGTTCAGAAAAATTTTTTGTTATGCTGGTTGAACGTCTCTTCACATCCCGATAGCAATCACTAAGTTAAGTGCATGGTCTAAATGTATTTATATGTACAGTATTTATATAGTCTGTGGAAGGCGTAGGACCATAAAATGCGCTATTATTGTAATATTATGTTATCGCTAGCCTTTCCGAAATCGCCTACCGTACCTTTAAAGAAAATATTAATAACTTTATCAAATAAAAAACATGACATGATATGACCTCTTTAAACTCGAGGACAAAACCTTATAAAAAAGGTTTACTCTTTTGCTCAAAAAGTAAAGTTTTATTTATGAAACTTTTGAAAGACAAAAGCTCCCACAAGAGATCAGCGTTTGAGCTCACAGACAGTGCTGTGTGTGTCTGTGTGTGTTTAATTTTGTTCTTCCTCCACAGAAGCGGCGCTCAGGTAAACACGTGTCTCATGTTGCTCATTTCTTCTCATCAAGCCTGTATCCTGTATCTTCATTCTCAAGTATTATTTCTCATCTCTTTCACTGTTCCTGCATAAAACTATCGGCATGTTTTACACCACACCATCTTCTGAATGTAAACGTTTCTTTCGATTTCTAAAGACAACATGCAATTAATATTTACTGCCAAACATAAATGTCCTTTTATTGAATATTATGCATCAGTACACATTATTATATACACTACCATTCAAAAGTTTGGTGTCTGTAAGGTTTTTGAAATAAGTCTTACCAAGGCTGCATTTATTCAATCAAAAATACAGTAAAAACTATAATATTCTGAAATATTATTACAATTTAAATGAACTGTTTTCTATTTGAATATATGTTAAAATGTAATTTATTTCTGGGATCAAAGCTGAATTTTCAGTGTCATTATTCCAGTCTTCAGTGTCACATGATCCTTCAGAAATCATTCTGATTTGCTGCTCACTCACTAGACTTTTGGAAGTTAAATGTGCTGCAAATGTTAATTCATGTTGTCTTTAAACATACATAATAATTACTAGAAATGTGCTGTTATGACGCATGTGAGCTGAAATGAGTATCAATGAGCGTTCTGATCTGAGGTCAGTTTTTGACCTGTGTGGAGATTCGGTTCTTCCTGAGCGTGGATCACACAATCCAGAGAGTACTTGATCATTTTGATTCTGATGGTCTCCTTGTGTTGCTATCAGCCAGTTCAGCAAACTAATCTCTGACCCTGACCGTTTAACCTCTCCAGAACTGCTATAAACATGCTGCGAGCGTTGACAGTTTCTGACTTGCCATCTTACTTCTACTGCAAAAAAATAAAAAAATAAAAAAATAAAATAAAAACAGAGCTTGTCATAGAGCTGCAAGTACTCCTGTGTCTCTAAAATTGATGCCAAAAGACAAAAAATTTAAATTAGCTAAAAATGTACTCACCCTCAGGTCATCTGAGATGTAGATGAGTTTATTTCTTTATCAGATTTGGAGAAATGTGTCATTCCATCACTTGCTCAGCAATAGATCATCTGCAGTGAATGCGTCCATAATCCATAATCACGCTTCCTGGTCTGAATCAGGAGAGAAATCTGCGCAGATCAAGCACCGTTTACAAGCCAAAACAGCTCTAAACAAATATGTGAAAGACAAGACTTTTTCACTGGAGGAAGCGTTATTATGGATTATGGACTCAAGCAATGATTTGAAGTTAAAAACGCTTTATGATGGACTTGTTTCTTACAAACACACAGCTTTTGTCTTCTCAAGGCATTAACTGATGGACTGGAGTGGTGTGGATTACTTGTGGATTATTGTGATGTTTTTATCAGCTGTTTGGACTCTCATTCTGACGGCACCCATTCACTGCAGAGCATCCATTAGTGAGTAAATGATGTAATGCTATATATATATATATCTCCAAATCCGTTCCCATGAAGCAACAAATTGCACAGTTCCCACAGATGAGATGTTGGAGAGGTTTCAGATGAAAGACACTGCACAGTTTGAGTCTCCACACAGGTTTGAACAACAAAACAATGGATGTGAATACTGGCGTGCTGCATAGTATATACTGCATTTAGCCTGCTGTTTTTGAATAGCATATGAAGCATGCAGTATGTACAATGCAAAACATTTTGTCTTCATATGATAACATCCAAAAGAACAATTAAATAAAAATATCCTTATTGCTAAAAACATCCTTATTAACTAAAAACATTATGTTGCACTAATGAAAGTTATTTGTGAGCGCACTGCAAAAAAAAAGATTTTCTTCCTCAGTACTTTTATCTTGTTTTCCAAGTATAAATATCTAAACATTCTTAATTCAAGACACATAATGACTTAAGATATTAAGTCTTGTTTCCTGAAAAAAAATTATTAAAAATTAAGTGAGTTTATGATTAAAACAAGAAACAATTATCCGTCAGCAGGGAAAAACTAAACTTATTTCAAAGAAAAAACAAGATAATTTTCTTACCCCACAGGCCAGAGATCTTGTTTTAAGCAAAAAAATTACTTCATTTTAATACATTTTTCAGAAAACAAGACTTAATATGTTAAGTAAATTTTCTATTGAAGTAAATATATCTTGATTTAAGATTTTTATTTTGGATATTTATCATTGAAAACAAGACAAAAAATACTAAGTAAGAAAATCATGTTTTGCAGTTCAGGTAAAAGTAACTTATTAAAAGTCAACATAATTGACGCTATTTAATTTCTGAATACACATGAGCTTATCGGTTCACTATGAATCAAATCAAGTCCCGCTGTACATTTTTTTTTGTTTTGCAAATCATAAATATGTCACATTGTGGTAGTAAAATTGGTGACAATTGCCTTTTTCACTGTGCAGCATAAAGTGTTTCATATCATCATCAGTATTTTTCATTTCTTCATCAAATGTGACATGCTTGTGGAAACACTGAGGATGTTTCTCTCTCTCATTTATTCCCTCTGATGTCAGTAAGAGTCTCCAGGTTTCTGAAATCATCCAACTGAACATCTTAATTTGCTTCAGTCTACAGTTACACTCGAAATAAGTGTCAGTTTTGATATGCAGGCACACAAACGGTTGGCCGCTGTTCAGTTTTCTTCAATGAAAAACAGCAGATAAAATGTATTGCAAGGTCACAATTGTGAGACAGCCCATGTAAGAAAAACATCCAATTTCAGTTTCACATTTTGCTGTACAGTGTACAGTGTTCATAGAAACCTCATTTTCAATTCCTGCGGGACTTTCGGTAAGACCAGATGCCATGAGATATTCCACGAATCAATCAAATATCACAGCCAATCAGAAGATCGTATGGGCGGGGCTATTTCTGCAAACGTGCTGTACTGGCGATGACGTGGATAAGTATTCATTTATCAATTTTAAACCATTTTAACATTATTAAAAATACATGCTACTGAGTTACTGAAACTATCTTTTTCATAGAATACACTTGTGTGTTCACATCAAGTTAACAGTTTAAATGTTCTCGTTTCCTTTATTTATTATTATAGGTAAATTTTTAATTGTCATTTGACTGTTAGCAAAACAATAATTAAACTCACATTAGAGACTTTTAAGATTAAATAAAGCACATAATAATTACCTGAGATTATCATCGTCATAGTTTTTGAGGTTGTTTTTTTCCGGCCGTGACGTCGTCACAGAAATAGAAACCGTTTCTAAAATCCCCTGTCGCTCGTCGCGCATTGCGTCGCGTTTGGTCGCTCTGGGCGGAGCTTGAAAAGGTGGGCGAGGCTTAGCAAAGGTCCGTTCAGTGTTGTAGGGCTGTCAAAATGACTGAAAAACTAAATTCAAATTTTCTACTTAAATATGATCAAAATTCGAATTATATTCGAATTTAAAAGGCATAATTTCAGTTAGGGGGGAAAAAAGCTTTTGGCTTCTCTCCTGAGGCCACAAGAGGGCGCATCGAGCAAAATATTATGCACGTTTCTTCAAAGCGTAATAAAATAACACGACTATCTTTGAAAAAAAGTGCATAATGTTTAAAATAATGTTTATAAACCAATTATAATTAAGTTGCTTAAACAACTATAAACAAAACAGCATCATGTATGTATGCATAGTTGGGGTGCTCCGATC